CGTGCATTGAATCAAATGTTTGTTTCCGGTATTACTCGTGTCCATTTTTGAAAGTGTGAAATAACTTGTTGATGTTGTACGATACTCTCAGGTTATAAAAATTCGTGTGTCAATATTTAATAATTATCCTTAATATTTGTTATATTTAATATCGTTGTTATTAGGGAAAAATACGAAATTTCATTTTTTAATCTTAGAAGATTAATATTTATTGTTATATTTAATAACTGTCGTATTTTGTATTTTATTATTTTAATATTTTATAGATAATAATTTATATTAAATGTGAAGAAGATGATATGGAAAGTATGGAATAATTACTAATATTATATTTTCATTCTATATTATATTTCGATAAATTTTCAAAATGATTTTTATTTTAAAACGATAAATATACACGATGTTACACGCAGGAATTTTAATAAAATTATATCCTAAAAACTTTTTCATAAAAGCAAATTGTTTTTTTCAAAGTTTATCGAAATTAATTGGCTATACTATAAGCTTTTGATAAAAAATTTTTCTACAAATTTTATGAAAATACATATAACTACGTCAAATAAATTTTTTATTTTATACTGTTGTTGATTTTTCGTAAATGGAACGTTATACGATATTGCAAAGGTGATTATATAATTTATTTAATTTTTCAATACAATGTTTTAGTTATATTTATTCAATTTTCATTTCACAGATAAAAATTCAAAAGCTTCATTCAGTTCATATTTTTGTATCGTATATAAAATAAAATTCAACATGGTATAGCTTTATTTATAATTTTTAAATATAAAAATTATCTTTCCTTGAATATTAACATTATCTATGTATTCTTACATGTTTAATTTTTAATACATCCATCAAAAATGAAGATAGTTTATTTTATCCACAATTATTACCATTAAAACTTTTCTCTGCACTGTTTCATGCGTCAAATTCCAGGAAGTTGTTGAAAGGCACAATCCTTTTTTACCTCTGTGTCGTATAAACGAAACATTTGGCTACCAGATGCTGATATATTTTTGGCCTTCCAGTTCATTAAACTGTTCTGATTGATTCTTTAAACACTTCATCCATTAATACTCCTATGCGATAATCAAGTTATTTATACATATTATAATAAAATTCTATTGTATATAACTTTCAATTTTTGATAAATAATTATTCAGAAAATAAATTATAGATGAATTCGTTTATAAAATCTTTAATCATTCGATAAAATTCAAATATCTGTTAAATCACACAAATTTTTTAAATATTTTTGAAACAATTTTATTCTTCTTCTTTATTATTCTATTTTAATACTTGTTAATCCAATTATTATATATATATATATGTTTTAATCATTCATTCAAACTTATATCCCTTATATAATGACTCGAAAAAAATTTTATACTCTCGAACAAAAAATATGCAACATCCATGTACAATTATTAAAATATCTGATAACTGCACACGTATAAAAATGGCCATATGTTTCTCGCAACAAAAAATTTATTCAACCTAGTCTCATGACTAGTACTCATATCCTTTTGTTAAAATCCTGTTCTCTGTAATCACGATCCTCTCCTCTGTAATTCACTCTTCTACGAAAATAACGAATTAATTAAAATTCACCGATCCATACCACCGGTCCTTAATTAAACAAAAATAGAAGCCCGAGATTAGCATCGCATTGTTGTAAAAAAAAAAAAAAAAGAAAAAAAAAAAGAAAAAAAAAAAAAAAAGAAAAAAAAAAAGAAAAAAGAAAGGGAAAAAAAATGAACGAAGAAAATTGATCGAACCCTTTTTTTTTAAAAGATACTCTCGACCTGGTAACATTGGCTCAGCCTCAACTTCGTCACCCGCCTATTCATCTAGTCGAGTGTTTTCGTGATCAAGGATCCGCAGCTTTATTAAAAGCAAGCAAGTGTATTTACTGGAAACTGCTCTCGTAAGCGCGATGGTACTTTTGAAAGAGCGAGACGCTTTCCTCTTTGACGGGAGAAACGAACAACAATTTGCACCCGGAGAAGTCGCTGCGTTTCCGGACCGTTGATCATCTTTTCAACCAACGCCTTCCCCGAATTTCCACGCCCGAATTTCTAATTACATGATTTCGCTCAACGTGAGCGACGAGGCCGCGCTCTTTTAACGGTGCAAAGACCGTTTCACACTTTCGCGCTTTACCGCGAAAATTCACTCTCGAATTCATGGCACCGCGGGGACTATTCGTCCACGTTTTCATCGTGATAAATGCGACGATAAACGCAATTGCAGATTGTTGGTGATTCTCGGCCGAGATTGAAGCCCGTGGAATTAATGCAATGTTTTCGCATTGGACCGGACTTTCGTAATAATACTTTGAATTGTAATATATAAATGTTGAATAATAATTTTGCACTAGTAACTTTTTTTTTTAAGATTCATACTTTTCTAGGGAATTTTCGTATGGATTTGTCATGTAAATCACGAGGAACTTATTTTTTTTTTTAAGGAGATTAGAAAAATTAATTTTATTTGATCTAGTTTTTTTGATTATTCATTTTTCAAATTGGAGATTTAGATATTTTTAACAACGATATATGGGTAGAAAATTATAGATAAGATTCATATTTGTTTAATTTTTGTACGGATTTTTACGGAATCAGTTTTAGAAAAAGATCAAGGAAACTAGTAGTTTTAATAACTCGTAATTAATAATTCCTTTTTTTTGTTTTAATTTAATTAGTAACTTTAAAAGCTATCATCAAAGAAAATTACATTAAAGCAAAATTTGCTTGTAATGAAATTTCATCCACGATAGCTTTTAAAGGTTAAGTAGTGAACAATGTGAAGAAGAGAGGAATTGTTATCATATTTCAATTAATTTTATATCCCATTAATCTCAAAAAAAATGTTGTTATTGCTAATATAATTGATAAATATTTGCATAATTTGTTCATTTGTTACGTATAAATTCTTGAAATATAAGTTTTGACAATTTTTTTGTATAATTTATAAAAGATATTCTGTAATCATTCTCTCAAATTAATGTAAATATTAATATTAGATTTTTCAGATTTTTTTATTTTTAATCTTCCATATAAATTTTCTATCATTATTTATATATTATTATTATTATTCTATATATTATTTCTACATAAAAAATTGGAAGCCATTATATTTTTTTCCAAGGAATTCTCGAGTTTCAAGTAAACTAATATAATTATAAATTTATAAGATCTCATCAAAATATTTTCACAAATGCATTGATAATAATAAAGAAAGAAAAACAATATTTATACATTTTTCAAAAATTTTTTATTAATCTCAAGAAAGTCATCCCAAGTTCTTTCTAAACGAGTCCCTTTTTTAAGATGGGATAACTGGGACACCACTCTTTAGCAATAACTTCCTAGTGAAATTAACTTAGTTTCAGAGAAAGTTCACTGCAAATAATAAACTCGTAAATCCTGTGCATCAAAAATTGAGAAATTTGTAAATATGATGATAACTGTTATATAAGAGTTCAGCAACGAAACTAAACTTTAAATCCGACTTCAACTAAACTCGATTTCTCGCAAGACGTAGATAAATCATCCCTGTATATCGTATTAATCCTACTTCCGGATTTTCCATCTTTTGAAGAAATTTATTAAGATTATTATTTTTTATATTTCCAAGAAAAATGTATTTAAATACATATTACATTTTAAAATCGTGAAATCAATAATTTTCAGAATATTTATTCGGAGAAATATTAATTTTCAATTAAAGAAAAGTTAAACGCAGAGTGGATTATTATACTATTACTTAAATTATTTTTGGACGGATTAATCAAATATTTTATATAATATGACATGTTTCGCTAAAATTTTTAGATTATTTTCAATATTTAATTATAATTTATAATTTATGTGTATATATATATTTATGTAAATTTTTTACATTGATGTTTGAACGATAAGTTAGTTTCTGAAATATTGAGGATGAACCAATGGACTACGCAACATTTTTACAATATTCAGACAAAATTCAAATCATTTAAAGATTAAATATATTAAATATATTATTTTATATTGATCTATGTCTCACAAAAGCAACGTTACTTTAATGCCAATATTTTCTTCTTGTCACTGTATAACCTGTATTGCAACGTTTAATTATTCAAATAAGCTTCATAACTGAACCCAAGCAATCTTGTCATCCAAAATTGAGCTTCTTTCCCAGCTCAATTTACGAGCACTTTAATGACAATAAAAAGTTCGTCATCTCTGAGAGCTACTATCTTCCGATTTTCTCCTTCTTCGCGACGAGGAGGATGTCAAGTCCATCGTTTTATTCAATGTTTTATCGAACACGAATTATCCTTTCTTCGTGCTAATGCCCCACGAAGAATGGGGCGCATTAATGGTTTTTAGCCCCGCTCGTGCGGAATTAACGAGGAGGTGACAGAAAACTTTCGCCACGTTTTCTTTCACCCGACTTCCATTCAATCTTCTCCTCAGTTGGATCACGTTTCTATAACCTTATTGTCCCTGGCTGAATTCTTAATATTAATAGCCGTCCAATGGTGTACTCCAATGCTGGCTGTGATTCAAAGGCTAACTAATCGTGTGATATATACAATTTCCAATTAATTGTGTATTTAGAAGAAATAATTATTATTTGAATAATGTAAAAAATAAGAGCTAAAGTATAATTCAATTTATTCGAAGTTTAAACTACTATCCTCGCAAAAGGGAATATTTTATATGTAAAGACAAAATTTGCATTAATCTTACCTTAAACAGTAAAAAATCGTATTATCATTTCCTCAAATGTTTCACACCTTTTCAATTTCTCAATATCATTGTTCACAATCCATTATACAAGCAAACGTCGAAATAGCATCCCCTGAAAAGAATCGTATCGCGTACAAATCCTGCAATTGCAGTTCATATCGAAAAATATAAGAAATAAGATGGGAGGGGTTAATTGTCGAAAATCGATGTTAAATGTGAAATGAGAGAAATTTATCGAACGATTTATAATCGTTCCAGAGTCGACGAGCGACGTCACGGAAGGTGTTTACGCCGGCGAACGTGCCCGATTGGTTTATGGGGTGTTCACAACCCCTGTGAATTCGATCGGGGGCTCGGCCGTCTGCGCGTTCTCTATGAAGAACGTCCTCGAAGTCTTCCAGGGTGCGTTCAAGGAGCAGGAGACCATAAACAGCAATTGGCTACGTGTACTTCCGGAAAAGGTGCCCGAGCCAAGGCCTGGTGCATGCGTGAACGACTCCAGAACGCTTCCAGACGTGACCGTAAACTTTGTGAAAGCGCACCCCCTCATGGACGACGCGGTCCAATCCTTCTTCTCATTACCTGTGATAACCAAAGTCAGCTTCAAGTAAGTTATTACGCTTTCTGGTTCACTTTATTTCATTGATTTTTGAAAAAAAATAAAGTTTCACGATATAATGTATAATATTTAAATTTTATATTATAATAAATAATATATTTATTGTTATTATTATTGTTTCTATGATAGGTGTGAAAATTTTATTTTTAGGGATTGATTATGAATTCTGTTATTCGATGATTTGATTAATTTTATTTAATTAATAATTCAATGGATGATAAATTATGTGAATTGTATTCAATAATTTTTTTAATTTTTAATTCAATATTCTTATTTATGCTTTCGTTCAATTGTATATATTATAACTTATTTTACGATAGTATGTTGTAGAAAATTTCTCGAGTAATTAAATTTCACGATCCAATTATCTTGATATATATTAATCGTTGAATATATCTAGAGCTTGGTGGAATTATAGTTGTTAGCAGTAGTAATCAGAAAGTGAACCAGACAGAAACTAACTTAATATTTAAGTCAAATATTGCCTGATAATAATTTATGGTAACTTAAGTAAGATTGCTAAATAAATAAGATTATACGAATTGGCAAAGTTGTTGAGCATTAATTTCTCTCTACAAAACAACTCGGGATAAATTATTTAGTTTCTGATACTAAAATTTGTAGAAGAATTAATCATTCTGATAATTGAATAATTAGTTGAATTAATACTTTAACTCTATACATTAACAAAAATATTTTTATATTTAAGAAAAATTATTATTAACAATTTCTAAAATTAAAATTTATATATTCTCCATAATCTTTAAAAATGTTCAAAAAACGTAATTTGAAAAAATATTATGTTCCAGCTACAGATTTACCAAAGTCGCCGTGGATCCTCAAGTGAAGGCGTTGGATGGCAAGGCCTACGACATTCTGTATGTCGGGACAGGTGAGTTACAACAATTGTGTGTACCGCAACTAACAAAAGCACGGATTTAATTATGATAATTTCATAATTATGCATAGACGACGGCCGAGTTCTCAAAGCGCTCAACACTCGTGCACCGGATTCACTGAGCAATGTTAGCCAGGTCATCGTAAGCGACGTTCAAGTGCTGAAGTATGGTAAGCAGTACTCGAAAATTTCCACGACTTTTTTTTTTTTTAATATCTAAATAAAACGCTCGGAGCTTCGTGAAATTCGACGTTCGATCGTGCATGTCCGATAAGCATCAATCCAATTACACGATGCAAAATAGGAAATTTCGAAGATGGATCTTGCATCCAAATTTTAATTTTCAAGAATTTTAATTTATGTTTCGTTCGTTTTTTTTCTTTTTTTAAGAAGAAAAAAAACAAGATGGAATTGTTCATTAAGATTTTATCATTTGAAATTAATTTTCTTAATTATATAATTTATTATTTATAGGATATTTATCAAATTTTAATAAACTTTTTTTTATTTATAGCTACATTCACAGCTTGTTCTTCACGAATTTAAAATTTAAAAGAATAATTACGAATACGTATATTATTTGAATTAAATGAAAAATATAAAAAATAATAAGAAAGAGGAAGAATATAAACATAGCTCTAAATTTTTAGAAACGAATAATTAGATATTTCAATCAATAAAATTAAAAAAATTGAATATTAATAAGATAAAAATAGATTTTCAGACAAAAAGGTATACACTTACAATTAATTTACCAAAAGAAAATAATATTTTTTTTCAATTTCTATATTATCTATACCTATAAGTAACTAAACCAAATTAATTAATATTATAATAAACACAATAGCATATAAATATTTCTTTCAATTATTGCCAAAAATAATTATACTTTTATGCAATTATTTTAATTAGTTATCTACTTTAAAAAAATAGATCTTCTTCTGAAGAAAGATTGAAAGATACTGCTTCATCCCCTTTCGCGTTTAATCCCTACACGAGAATTAAAGTGTTCAATTCCGTTCACGTGCAGGACAAGCGATCAAGGATCTGTTGGTGGTCCACCTGGCCGGCGAGGCGAGCAAGTTGGTCGTGTTTGCTGACTCCGAAATTCGCGCGGTACCACTGCACCATTGCGACGCCCCTGCGGCGGCCACCTGCGCGTCTTGCGTCGGTCTTCAGGATCCTCACTGTGCCTGGGACGCGACCAAGAATCTGTGTGTGGCCGTGTCGACGAAACTGCACGACAGCGACGCCGACAAAACCTTGTTCCAGGACATTGTGAACGGGAGACACAAAGGATGCGGCTACGAGCCAGGTAATTCTCGTTTACGTAAACTCGATTTAGTAGGGTTGAAACGTTTCGAGGCTCGATTACCGGCGATCATTATGAAACGTTATCGACCGCGCGTCTCTACCGATACTATAAAGGTCGGTATTGTCGTTCTCGCTTGGAATACCTATTCTTTTCGTTCTTCGAATGAATACATGCTGTTGGTTTCTTTCTTTTTCTTTCTTCTTCTTCTTCTTCTTTTTTCTATTTATTTTTTCTTTTTTCTTTTTTTTTTTTTTTTATTTTTCCATGAAAGAAATAGCAGACTGAGATTACTTGGCGCAATGTTGTTCAGTTGAGATTCGGTTGTTCATGTGGATCAAAGAATTGTGCGAGGATTTTTGAAATGGTAGTTTCGGAATTTAAAAATAGATGAAGGAATTGAGATTATTTATTTATTCGATGAATAAAATGTATGATTTCTTTTTTTGTATTAGTTTAATAATTATAGAAAATGATTTATATGTTTTATTATTTCTTGACTACTTAATAGTAGTAAGTTTGTGCCAAATATATGTGAATATTATGGAATTATCATGATCTTTATGATATATTAATAAATATAATTTTAAATTATCAGTATCAATTAAATGGAAAGCTAAAGAATAGACAAAAAATAAAATCTTTTTTTTTTTAAATTTTTTTTTTTAATTTTCTTTTAGATATATTAATTCTTTTACAAAAGAAAAATTCTTTCACAAGTATCTTTTATTTTATTTTTTTATTAATAAGATATTAATTGAAATAGATATATTAGATTATTACCACATTCTCTATATTCATATAAACATTGCACGATATTGATCGGTTTATTATCTTTATCACTTTAGCATTTTTGATCAATAAAAAATTCATCTGCAGAGATGAAAATACTAGAGAATAAAAATTTATCATCAAAAAATTCGAAAAGTTTTAATCATTAAATTCTAAAAAAAAAGAGAAATAAATAGAAAAAAATTACAAAAAATAATAGAAATTGTAGTATTGATTAGAAAGTTTGCGTTTTTTAATCATCGTGAGAAAAATAACAAAAAAAAAAAAAAAACATAGCTTAATTTACATCCTAATACTCTCGAAAGTAGTTACACAAACACAAACCAAACAAAAACAAAACAAAACAACAACTTAATTCGCTGTGGATTAAAACTTCATTTTATTGACGACACTGAGACTTAAAAGTTTTTTCGCAACAACTGGTAAAACCTAACTTAAATAAGTATTCAACATATATCCTTCAATATTTCTTTCTTAACTGATATAGATTTTACAATAAAATCAATACAATCAAACACACTATTTAATTCTTAAATTTAAAAAAAAAAAGATTTTGAAATTAAACAATTTCTAAATAAAAATTCTTCTCTTATTTGAATAAGTTTTAATGGTAACAGAAAAACAACATAATAACAATCTAAATTAATTATAAAACATTTCTGTATATATCTCTCAAAAAGTTTAAGTGCCATTCTTTTGTGACATCAATTAAAACTTTTTGACTGGAAACTGAAGAGATAACACACAATAGATCACAACTATAAAATCATTTAGAAATTTGTTGTATCCAAAGATCATGACAATAGCTCGCTTTAAATACTTAAATACAATGCTTTTTCGTGTTCACGCCGAGAGAAAAATGATAGAAAAAAAAAGAGCTATCTGTGAAAATTGGTCCATCACGCTTGTTGATTGATTTCACAGCCTCTCCTCTCGGAGAGATTTCGACAAAGAAGAGAGCGTCGTTAGCACGAATGGAGCACGCTTCCTAGAAGAAATTTTCAACTTTTACCTTGTAACTGATTGTAAATACAGTTATGAATGCGGTATAACTAGTGCTTCGTAAATCATGAAGCGATTGAAGAAAGTTTTAATTAGCATTTCGGGAAAAATGTTGGCAAATTTATACAGATGGTACTTAAATAATTCGCGAAGATTTATTCTTTATTATAAAACGATGTCTTTGAGATATCATAAATTTCCAGACTTCATCTCAAATTTCAAAATTTATTTATTGCAAATTTCATCGTTTCTTGCAAAAATATTAATATCGTTTTTTTTTTGTTTGGTGCAATAAATAATTTCTCTTTATAGATTGTAATTTTTACATTTAAGAAATCTTTGAGAAGAATTATTGTAAATCTCTAAGAAATAATAATAGTACAATTCAAAAAAAGGAATATTTTTATTCTTTCGTTATTTTATTTTTAAATGATTTCTAGCATTTCTAATAATATTTCTTGGTTCAATGTCTCATAATTAAATTAAGTGATGAAATTTAAATTGAGTAAAAAAATTTTTAAAAATTAACTTGACTTGAATTGATTTTAATTTTTCATTGGTTGTTATTGATTGAAAAACAGAAAAGTCTTTTTAAGATATTTTAAGAAGATTATAAGTACAGAAACTACTAGTTTTATCTCTTATATTTTTTTCTATTGTATTTTTGAATTTTCATGTATTTTGATCCATAAAACTTAGTTCCTTTAAAAAAAGAATTTTAAAATGCAGAAGAGAATGGGTCGGTGGCCTTAAAAGAAGAATCATTTTAGCTGTAAAATTCTAGCCGGAAATTATAAAAAGTTGTGCATAATGGGAAAAATTATTTTATCTAGATAATAGCACGATTTCATACCTAAAAACTACGTTACTACTTACACACACTTAATATATCCTGCAAAAATTTTAAGAACTTAATATACATTAGATTGCATTTATATAACATATGTGTTATTGGACTTTATTAAAATTTTAATTTCTTTTATTCGTTATATTTTTTTTTTCTTTATTTGAAACAATTTAAATCAATTTTGATGAAGAGATTACTTTAACGATATAACAGTATAAAATATAATTATTAATTTATAATTTTTTGAAAGATTAACGTAATTTAAAATATTTTTCAAAAATTTAAAAACTTTCACTGTTTCGAAAAAAAGAAAAAGATAAAATAACAAATTTCATGTTTTCATACAATTTAATGTAATGTAATAAATGTAATAAAATTAATCAAAAGTTTTTTCCTATATATTTAAAAATATTACTTAATAATATTTAAATTGTGAAATTCAGTTTATTTAAAGATAGGAATAACTAACATAATTTAATTACTTTTTTTTTTTACTTACTCTTTTTCTTCAAAAACTTTCGTACACTTGAGAAAATTTCCTAAACTTGAAAATTACGTTCTATAGCTAAAATTAGAAATTCCATCAGATAAAAATAAGAACGAAAAAGAAAAACATTTTGCTAAAAAAAATTCTTTGAATTAAATGAATTTGTTTTAATTAACTTTTATGGAACTTTTTTAAAAGAATATGACAAAAAAAAATAATGTATTTAAAAAAAGAAATACTAAAAATCATTTTATATAAATATAAATGTAACATAATAAGTTTATTATTAGTGACAAATTTGAGAAATATGTGTAAAACACATTAAACACTGCTTCTACTCTTCGTTCAATATATGAAAATTTTCAGCCATTTCACTGGAATTTTTCTAAGGAATTTGTCTATTAAACCGGGGAAATTCTTGCGTTAATCTGCTCTGAACAATTTAAAAGTTCACCCTTTCAATGATACACTCTACCCTTCCAGAATATCAATTATCGCTGTCTTCTTTTTTTTCTAAAAATAAAAAGAAACGAGTACAAAAAAAAGAATTCGTAAAATCTGGATAACGAATTTCCATATTTCTTTTAAAAATAAAAAAGAATGAAAACCAAAAATATGAAAAAATAATATACGAAATTTTAAAAATTCATATCACTTATGTACCAATCATTCCCGATAAATCAAAAAATACACAATGAAAGAATTTGTAAAATTCTAATAATGATCTACGAAGAAACATCTATCCGAGATAACGGTATTATTTCTCGTTCAAATACCGCTTCATACTTCCATTTTACCAGTATAAACTCGCACTCTTATAAACTTCAGCATATTCATATTTCACCATTTTATCAGACTCCATCAATTTTCCGTCGTAATCAAATTCGCATCACATAGGACGCACATAAGGCGCACGTTGCACAAGGTGCATCGTAACCGTTCATAAACGCGATTCCCTACCTTGGCCGGCCATAACCGGCTACTTAGTTACTCCGACGGCCATTTCGATCCACCGATTTTTTCTTCCCTCTCATTTTTCCTTTCCTACCAGAGGAGCCGCCTTTTCCCCTTCTTCCTCGGCCGTTCATCGCGGATTTTTCTGTTTTTTTTTTTTTTTCTCGCGATACATCCTCCTCGATCGATGATTCAACCGTCGAATAGAGCCGGTAGCGAGCAACGTTGAACTGATGATACACTTCTTTCGATCGGACACCGTACTACTAGAAGATACGTAGACGAGATAGCGTACGGTTATCGGCGTGGCCCGATGCAAATGTATCCTGGAATCGATTTATGGTATTCGACACGGCGTGCAACAGCGTGAGGAGGTGTACAACCTGGCCCGCAGGATAAATTGGAATTTATGCGTCGGTTTACGTAGCCCGATACGCTCCTAACGAGCGTTACTTGGCCGTTCACCGCGGCTAAAAGTGCTCCAGAGGATCACAATGAGCACAGGCCAGAAGCGGTTGCGTCAAGCGGGGAAATCGATTTTCTATACGATCGGATGGGATGGCGGTGATTAGAGGGTGCTCTTTGCCCGATTTGCGGTATGGACTTACGCTTGTTTGTAGATCGTGATCTTCCGAGAGGATCGACTGGAATGATTTTTGGAAGGGCTGGCTACTCGATACTTGGCATCGTATATTTTTTTAAAGCAAGATATAAATGATTCTTTTTTCTTTCTTTAGTTAAAAAATATTTGCATTAATTTCTCGAACTTCGACAAATCAAACGGCGTTTCTTTATTAGCATTAACTCGAACTATGGTTAATTATAAATTATACAAATTTTCTTTTGTCTTCTCTCTAAAAATAAAATTTTATAAATATTATACAATCACATATATGCTTTTATACTTGACGAATATTGCTC